TGTATTTTGTTGGAAACTTGTGCCCATGTTGATGTGCTTGCTCCCCCGCACCAGGCTTCCCCCCGGATGGGGCTGGGGGGGAAATTCGGGGAGTTGAAGTCCACTCATCTTAAAGTGGCCAAGTTTGGACAACACTGTCATATACTTACCAAAATCGCTGATTTAAAACCATTATCAATCATATAATGCAATCACACAACTGTGAGGAGCAGAGTGTGTCTGCATGTATGTAAATGGGACTAGCAATGTACAAAGAAAAACATATCCATTGGTTAGAATGGAGGGTAATGGAGTTATAAGTTCCCATCCAATTTAGAGGGAAATTTGCACTGAAAATATTCAGTTGTATTAGAAATGAGGATGGTAAGACAACATTCCCGCCCAAACAATCCTAGCCATCCTTTAGAGCATATCTTACAGTGGTAAATTTATGAACAGAGATGCATTCCTGTCCTTCGGCTATTGTGTAGAAGAGCAGATCACTCAGACGTGGCAACATCCCATTCACTGACAAGTCCCTGAAGAGAGACAGGAGTCACATATCCATCATCATCATCATCATCATCATCATCATCATCATCATCATCATCATCCCACAGTAGGATGTAGGCCTCTTCATTGAAGGTTATAGACCATAATCTACCATGCTGGTCCAGTGCAATTCGATAGATGTTTTTCAGTTTCCCAGTGTAGGGCTTAGAAAATGTGACTGGACCAAAATCACCCAGCCAGCTTCCATGCTTAAAGGAGGACTACTGTAGGTCTCCCTGCTCCTATATATAAAAATTAATTAATTTCTGGGAAGAGAAGTATCTCCTGAAAGAAAAGAATATGGGCAAATTAAAGCCATGCTACCAAGAGAGACAGGAAACATTTTCCCCACAGGAAAACCTAATTCCACACTCAATTTATTCTCTTCATTAGCTCCCACAGTTCTGCTTCTCAGTACTCAGACAACAGGAAAAGTGGATTTCCCCTCACTGGAGTTGGATAGAGACGGTTTAGAACACGTTCTCCAAAGTGGCCAATATTGACCCCCAAGGATTGATGGGACTATCCAAGGGATCAGTTGTTGTTGTTGTTGTTGCTATTATTATTTGTAGTATTGTTAAAGTAGTATTTATTATTTTCATATAATAAATGTTTGGGGCTTGATGAACAATCTGAAACTTCATGAAGGGGTGGATGAGCTGAAGAGCTTGGGGGCTCCTGGTTTAGAGGATTCCTGCACTGAGCAGGAGTTGAACTATGTGACTATTGATCAGGACCCTTCTGACTCAGGCATTCCGTGATTCTATGCCATTCCAAATACTGAAATGCCTCATAATCAGGATTCTCTGTGTAAGGCTGGGAATAATGCTGGGGATTTAGCTTCCATCCTCTCTACTGTGATGGGCCATGGGAACACAGAGGAGGCAGCAAGACAGTTAAGGGAGGAAAGAGGGCTGGTACAGAAGAGATTCTTGAATCCCGGGGAAGCGTTAGAAAGAGTAACTGCCTTAATTACACTAGATCAGGATTTCTCAACCTTGGCAACTTGAAGATGTGTAGACTGCAACTCCCATATGCTGGCTGGGGAATTCTGGGGAGTTGAAGTCCACACGTCTTCAAGTTGCCAAGATTGAGAAACCCTGCACTAGATATAAGTTGTGCAGAAGAATTACTGTGCTGGGCTTTTAAATTTCTGTCATATTGCCATGCAAGTAATAAAGATATTTCAGAAAATCCAAGTGGTTTTTGTTTCCTGAGTCTGCCAGCCCCAGGGAGCTTGACGTCTACCTACAAAACTCTAAATTGGCTTTTGCTTTTTAGTCATAAAAGTGGATTCAGAAGTATCCCTGTATCTTTTTATTCCTGAAAAATCCATTATACCCCATTCAAATTCATGTTCTAATAATTCTTTGGTACCAAATGATGTGGCCCATTGTCTAGGTATCTTTCTATATCCCTCCATCTTTATTAATTTATTTCTGGCAAGTGCTTGGTATCATTAATTTGACCATTATCTATAACTGTGGAACACATTCATTTCCAGCATCTTATTTAATATACAAAAATATGCAAGAATTGGGGAAAAGAAGAACATAAGGCTTTACTAATTATGCCTTACAGATATAAAGATGAGATATAAATTGTACCATGGATAATAATTCATTATGCTCCTGTTATTATTTTATTATTTACTTGAGTTATGTCTCACCTTACTGATCAAAGGTAAAAGAAAATTCTCCCTTATTTATTTTGTTATGGTGTCAGAATTCTACTCAAACTGAATATTGAAATTTATAACTATTTTAATGTCACATATCTGAAATTGCAAGAGGTCTGAAAACATTTACTGTAAAATGAATCTAGAGGAATTTCTAGATAAATAACTTTAAAATTAAAAAGCACACATATTTAAAATGATTTTCAGAAATGCTCTGGGCTCTAGAAAGGAAAGGAGCATGCCACTGTAATATTAATAACATGGACACTAATCAAAACACATCCACATACCTGCATGTTGAATTGCACATCAAATACGTAAAAAGGAAAACAAAATTAAAATATCAAGAATAGTAGCCTTGTACGACAAGTGGCAAATGAAGTATTATGTAAAAAAACCCCAATATTTCCCAACAACTACAAATGCTATTTGAATGTTAGAAAAATGCACTCAAAAATAAAACATGTATTTCTATGTTCTGATCTACAATGTCAAATTATGATCAGCTCATGCGTCTTACAGAAACATAATCACCATCATTTAGTGGAGATTTTATTCCCTGGAAAAAATTTCCGCAAAGTATTAACCATGTCAAATATATTTTAGATCGGAAAGTAGCACCAAGGCTCAGTTTGTTTTTCCTTTTCCATACTTGCATTTTGGATCAAATGCAATTCTGCTGCTGAGGGGATGTTTCTATGGCAGCCAGCATTTCTGCTGGGAACAGCCTCAGATCTTGCCCCTCAGACTGGCGGGAGTGAAGATGCTTAGCACGTCTCCAAAAGTGTCACCGGCTATAAGTGCAAAACAACACAGAACGTGAAAACGCCAAAAATCAACAGGCACCAACTGAAAGACAGGGACACTGACTTCCATGTCTGAAACATTAATATTTCTTTTGTGTCTTGGACTGATAGAAAACTCTCTGAGTGGGGATGCGCAGGCAATGTGAAGCTTTAGGTGCAGCAAAAAAAGAAAAAGAATCAATGAATGAAGAAAAAATAATAATCCAAAGGCTGATCCTCTGCTCTGGGCAAGTTTTCCTTTTCAACCCCACCTCCTTTGGCTCTCTATTTCATTTACTAACGTAAGATGTGACTGAACAAATAAATAAAGCTGGAGTAGCAGGAAAGCAGTATTTGACCCTGGGTGCCAATGTGAAAAAAGTCTGGGCTCGCACCCCTGGATCTATCACACGGAGAAAGTTCACTAGTGCAAGCAAGGGGCTGCACTCCAGAAGGAGCCTGAACGGTGCCAGGGGTTGGGATTCAAGCGATCTTACACATTTCGCCATTGGGAATGGCCAGAGGCACCCCAGTTTAACCTCCCCAAACTGCAGCGCGACAAGCGATAGCCCACGCCTCCCTTACTGGTCGGTGAGGCGCTGCTGAGGCGGCTGCGGCTGCTGGTGACGGCCGTTCATCACCGCCTCCCTCCCTTCAGCGGAGTAGCGGGCTCTACCCAAACCCGCGGGAAGGACCAGCTCCAAACCGTGCCCCGACGACCCTCTTCTCCAGTGGCACCGGATCTCCCGAGGCTGCAGCAGTCCCGTCACGATCCGGAGAGCGCCCATGGCCGCAGCCGGTGCGTTCAGGTCCCCAGAACAGGAGCGCACCTTGAAGCTGCTGGAAGGCGCGGAGGAAGGACGCCGCTGCCGCCCCCGCGGCCTCCTGGCCCTTTAAAAGAAAAACATCAGGCCGGTGGTTTCCAAAGGGGGAGGGAGGAGCGAGGAGGGGCTCCAGCCAATCAGCAAAACTTCAATTATAAGGAACTATATAAAGCCAATGAGGAATGGCGGGAGGAAGGGTCTTTGTGTGGTCTAACTGGTTTCGCCAAAGGTAGGGTAGGAAGATGCAGACAATGCTCCTTGGGGTTCTTCAGGTAGTGCCTCTATCAGTGACGAGGGAATATATGGTACAGGCATCTTCAACTCGTTCTCTGTTCCCTATTTCTGACGGAGAGCACTAACGCAGTTCTCCCCGGAAGTGTTAGGGGGGCGCCTTGTATTAAAGTTGTCCCTTTTTTTCTGTGCTAGAGGGTAATTAATGGAGTGCCAGTTTTGATCCTGGTCGGGAGCCTGTGATTGAAATGTACAGATATGAAGCTTCAAGTGTAGTTTTTAAAACTTGTCAGGCTGAACCAATCTACTGCAGGTCGGAGGCCTCGTCACTGAAGGCTGTGGACTGCACTCTACCATGCTGGATCAGTGTGGGTTGGTAGACAGATGTTTTTCAACTTCCCAGTCTAGGGTTGAGTGAGAACAACCGGCCCAAAATCACCCAGATGGTTTCTGTGCCTAAGGGAGGACTGGAACCTGACTCTTCTTGCTCCTAATCCAGTGCCTTAATCACAGCACCATGCTGGCTTTTTAATATGTATTTGCAGGCATGTTAATATGATTTATATTAACTGTGGTTTATGGAATTAACACACTTTCCTGGGGTCATGTGACACAAGCAACCCTACCCTAACCATGTGGCTTGATTTTTATGACATTCATGTCTGTAATGTGATAGACTAAATTGTGGTTCAGTATGTGATGCGAAACCTGGTTCCATCTGTCCTTTGTTATATTCTATAGAAAATATGTTAACATTCTTTCATAAATTACAGTATTAGGTTCATGCATTGCAGTGAAGGATAGATTATTACAGAGGGTTTCACGTGGTGCTCATTTCAACATTTTTCTTCATGTATCCAGTTGTTTCTTGAACAGTCTTGATACCTAGCTTCTTTTCTTGAATTAAACACAGGCTAAAGCATGTACTTCATTGTTCTACCAAGTTAAACTCCATTGCTTCCAAGGAGCTAGAATCTCAAAGAATGTCTCCTTTTATACTGGAACGGAGACCCTGAGAAGCAAGTTATTGTCTCCTGCCCCCATCCTCCACCTCACCACTGCCAAGGGACTAGAGTGGCCTAAAACATAAGCCTACTATCTTAGAGCTATTTAATATATTGTGGGGCTATTTTTACTTTATTATACAGAAACATTTTATTTTTTAATCATTTTATTACATTATAGAATACAAATAATAGTCAAGTACAGCAGTAGTTATACAATAGGAACTGGAAGCTATTAACATGGTAATGGTTACAGTAAATTATCTTTCAAAATAGAAAATGTATATCAATGTTAAATAAGATTTCTGAGATCTAAATAGAGTTGCTTAAATTATACTGTTGATGCTGAATATAACATTGATAAGTTGCAAACTACATCGAATTATTTTGTAATATGAAAGTTTAGATCTTTGCGCTTAATATGGAAGTTTCCACTGTATCTTTAATCATGAATACTAAAAGAAACGAAATTGGGGGGGGGGGAAGAGAGCTGAGATAGATGCTCACAGCTCTAGTGAAAAACTTTGCCCAACATTGGAAGGAAGATACAACACTTAGGATACCTGATTGCTAACTAAAACTTGGCGAACACACAGCAATGGTGAAATTAACAGCATGTATCCACAACAGAAGCTTATCCAAATTCAAGGAAGAATGGCTTCCATGCACACAACCTATCATGCAACGAGGCAAATACAAACATTTACAGTATGGTTTTTAAGAGGGTTTAAATGTTTATAAACACTGCAAATCTTTTGGAGAACAGAGAAGGGGGAAATTAAAGACTATCTACTTTTTCCAAGCAGCTTTATATCTTTCTAGCATATTCTGTATGCAGTACTGATATGAAAGACAAGTGAGAGGGCAGGAGGGGTCAGAATTTGGCTTTAAAAGTAACATGAAATCTTGCAGTTGCTTGTAATCAAAATCGCCATTGCCTGAAAAGGTACTCTGTTTGAATGCTGTTGTCTCCAGTACTATGTTAAGTTGGCTTAGCTTCTTACTCATAAACAGTTATCCACAGGCCAGATCATAAAGCTTATGGGCAACATAGTGAGATCCAGCCAGTGTTTACAGCTTTACAGTCATTCAGAAAAAAAAAAAACCTGATTCTTCTCTCTGGCCTTAGGGAGGAGCACTGTGTAAAGACTTAGTATCTCCTCACAATCCCCTCACTCCATTCATTAAAGGAGGGGATTGTTTGTTCTGTCCAAGCACCATTCCCTTTGGGGAAACCATGTCAGCAGTGGGCAAGGCCAAAACCAGAAATGGGGAGTGACCAAATGTAAAAGTGGTTGGAACCCAACTGCCTCCTTTCATTCCCAGTGCCCCAACGTGTTGTCTTTTTCTATCCTTCCTGATTTCTTACTTCTCCCCTTCCCTTTTGGCTGCCAGAGACCAGAGGTCACTTGGGCTCAAGGGCTGACTTGATCCCCTGAAGACAGTTTTTGAAATTGCTGGTAAAGTTGCTAACCCCTCCTCTGATTTAAAGTACTGAACCTGGCATATAGATATACTTTTCACGTATTAGGCTTTATTAATCATGGTTCATTCAGTAATCCACAATTGGCTGGACTTAACCTGCTAAACCTAAAACGAAGTAAGCCATCTTAAAATTTAGCATGTATGAACTAATATTTAATCATCTTGGTCCTAGACTCATTTCCTTCTTTCATTTGCTCCTCTTCTTGGCTGGTTTCAAAAAGCTGTCCTTGAGTTCCATATTTTTATTAATATTTAGTTACTCAAACTATCTGCATAAACAACATTAATGACATTTCCTTATAGATCCTACCTCAACTTGGGACACAAAACTTATGTCAGTATCAGTCGCCATTGTCCATATTGTTTGGGGTTGTTACACATCCTAGTTCAGCAACATCAGGTAGTGGAGGGGATCTGAGCAATTTCTGAAATCACTTAAATATTTAAAAAATCATGTGGTCATTCACTACTACATTGAGACACGCCACTAGATGGTGGTAGTTCTCCTGCTTCCCAGTCCCTTCACAAGTGACCCTTACTGTATCAAGAGAGTTCTCATGAGAATTACCAGTTTGGGCAATACGGGGTTCCAGAGTTACAGGAATTCAGTGAGAGATAGTTAAGCAATTATGCTTCATATTTCTGATTTTCACGAGAACCAGAAACTTTGTGCATGATAGATAGATCCGTGATTGTTTCTGAGAGAACATAGTATTAATCCCACATATGATACTTTATAATTCACTGTGTCTTGCAAACTCAGAAAATTGAATAAACCATGGTTATATTACATTAATTTGACTTCAGTACCTCCCTAGCCCAGTAATTCTTTTCTATGATTGGAATCTAGCCTGCTGGCACCATCTATTAGAAAAAAAATAAACTCTGCAAGTGTGTCTGCTGTAACAAAGTTGTGTGCGTAAGAGATTGCAAACACTGAGAATTATCCTTGTTCCTTGTTGCCCATCCTATTTGGATATCGGTTTCTTGGGCTTCTTAGCCATGGCATGAACCAATGCTGCTTTTATTACCTTTTTTAAAAAAATTGCTATCTGGCAGCAGTCATTCAGTCAGGTTGTAGTAGAAAAAATGCTGCACTAGCTTCATTGAGGGACCAGCACCTCTTAGCTCTTCCTTTTCTTGGACAGCATGCACTCAGGGTGATTCTTAAATGAATTCTCAACCTGCACCTAGATCTGTTTTTTTCCTCATCCCTCCCAACCACTTCTCCTCTTGTGATATGTTCTTTAAAAGGTATACCTGAAAACAGGGACTGTCTCATTATTGCTTTTCACATTTTCACTGTAAGCTATGCTGTGAGGCCTATGTAAACCATGGCCAAACAAACTGGAAAAAATGACACTTTTCAACCAGTCCCTGTAGATATTACTTTAACATCATTATCTGTGGTAACTCTGATTTTTATGCTGCAGTCGCATTGCGTATCTTTGCTTCCAAAACTGTGTTAAAGGCACTGCAACCAGCCAGCTAGGCTGGTTATCCCTTCCTTTTCTGTTTTCAACTCCTGTGAAGCACAAGACCTCTCTAGGAGCTCCAGAACTTGATACAACACAGCCTTGAACAGAAACCATTTGAAAGGTGTTCCTTCTAAGTTGACAATGTGCTTAATTTTCCTGAAGACTTTTTTTTTTTTTTTTAAATGCTGTCTGCTTTTCTCCCACTGATCTCAGGCAGGCCTATACAGTACCCATACCAGCCTTTCCACTTTCACGCTAAGAAGTGCAGGCAACCGATAATATCCTCTTTTTGAGAGCAGCAGTGACTCCTGGCCTGGATTTCCTTTATCTGGAAGCCGCAAAAGTGTTGAGGGATTAAGTAAAACAACGGCTGTGTGGGGCTTGCCATTGTTTGGCTCCTGCTCCCTTGAAGCCAGCTCCTCCTCAAGTCCCACTGTCCCCCGTCTCCAGCAACATATTGTGAAGTCAGCCATTTGGGGTCACTACAAAATAGGACCCACCCATCTCTCTCCCTTCTCTGCCTGGACAGAAAACTGTCTCTCAGCCAAAACAAACTGGCTACATATTTCCCAACCATTTTGCCCCCTCCTTCGTGGAGAGTTGGGCTGGCATCCAGCACATCTGCAGTTACTACAGTCAGTCTTGCCAGCTGGAAAACCCAGAGGCTGTGACGCTAGCAAAGGCTGCTTGGCCGGACGGTTCCCCAGATCTCGCCCTTGAGGAGGAGGAGGAGGAGGAGATGGCGGCGTCACTGCAAGGGCCTTCTTGGGGCAATGTTCTGCCTCCGGAGAAGTGAGGTTAGCTTCCGCACCAGAGCTGATTTCAGGGTCACGCGAAAGGGCCCGTAAGAAGCG